ACTAAGCCTTTTCTTTCCTTTTTTTTTTAAAACAGTGTTATTATCTGTTAAAATGTATATTTTTCCAAGCAAGACTTCTTCTGAAGGCTATGTAAAAAAACCCAACTTTTTACTTGAATCTTTCCTCAACAAGAAAGCTCCGATTCAGAAAATCTGCATTTGGAACAAAATTATTTCTGTTGCAATTCCGATCCCCTTGGGGTAGTAGCTTTCACTGCTGTACTTCAGGCTGTAATTTCCATTTTCCTGTCATATTATTAGGTAAATCCATATGGCTTTTCTTAGACTTGCTCATCAACAGAGTAAGTTAATTTCTAAGAGTTTACTAACAACTACTAAATATATTTTATTCAAAATAGATTCCTTCACTTTGAAATAATATCAGGTAGAGAAAGTTGGAAGGGAAGAAGATAGTAAGACAGCAGCTAGAATCAAAAGAGAAAGACAGACAGCAAGTGATTTTCAGCTAACAAAAGCTGACAGTTTCACAGATTGGAACTACTTACATTAAATGCAGCTGAGAACAGCCTTACAATTAAAGTTGTACCCAGTCAGAAACTTCCAGCATGTGGTTATTCATCTTCTTCTCACAATCTCTTTCAAAACTAAAAATCAGCCTTTACAGTAACAAAAGGGGTTCAATTAAACAAGACCTTCAAATACTGGTATCTTTAGAAGCTTTTTTTATCATTATTATTAAAATGTGTAAAATGTGTTATTTTCTTTACGTCACAGGTAAGGCAGTAGTTTTTGTATAATTAAAAGAGAATAAAAAACTGCCAAGGTACCAGAAAAAATTGTTCTGCTAGCAAGAGAGAAGTGTTAAAAAGATCTAACTTTATTTTATGTCTCACAGAAGGACAAAAGCTAACTTGTGACCTTACTTCACACTCATTGCAATTTTGGCATCACATTCAGGAAAGATGTAAATGAGGCAAGGTAAGCAAATGACATCATAGCATATGTTTAAAGGAAATGACCAGAGTATCAGCTACATATGCAATACATGCCTATGCTTACAGAGACACACGTTTGTCTCTGAATCTAAAAAAGTGAGCAGATAAGGCCGAGTAAACAAATGCAACTTCTGGAAGAGATCAAGACATTTTGAACCTACACTTTTTCTAAGAAAAACAAAACAAAACAAAAAACCTTCTACATCTCTTGGGTACTTGTAAGCATTACTGTTGTTTTTTTTCTGATCAGCTTTACTGATATTTTTTGATTCTTAAAACGTTTAGATTTTGTTTCATAATACAGACTGAAGCCCTACGAATTTTAAGATTAAGAGATTGAGAAATCAAGAATGAAGACACTTAATTTCCTTTTTTTTTTTTTTTGTACTTCAGTATTAGACAAGTGAAATGAAATAAGGATAAAACTTCACTGTTTAAAACTGGATCTAAATAAATATTTTTCCAACAATCCAGCAGGTTATTGGCTTTAGTTACTCAGGGTTAAAGCTTTGATACTAAGCTTATTGACTAAATAGCCAGAACGGAAAGCTGACTAAAAATACACAAGGAATGTTGAATTCATGATGATGCAGAAGTCATTATACAGAAGTCAATACAAGGTTAATGTATATTTTCAAGCTTATCCTCTGGATTGTGGGTTTGCAGCAGTGGAGTGATATTTATTGTAAGGGCAGAAGCTCTGGAAATGTCACTTTACACAAAACCATTCTAAGTCTCATTCTAGAAGGCTGAAAATAATATTATATAGTCCTTAAATTCTGGATACCTAAGGGCACCTATTAAAATGTCCACCACGTTTCTTAATACAAACCCAATATTTTGCCATAGTTTGAACAAAAATACAAACATAACACTGACTGCTAAAGAAGTTTTCATAAAGACAGTAAAAAGGAAGGAAATTCAAATGTAGGTAAGACATTGTTTGCAATGGTTGTACAAATATTTAGAAAGCAAAAACAAACTTTTACAGAACCTATTCTGCTGACTTGCTCATCAACAGTATATTTTCCACGGAAAACTCATTTATATGCAAAATAGGATGGAAATCATTATACCAGAAATCTAGTGATATCTGCAAAGTTACTAGTGTATAACACCATGGGAAATAAATCTCAAATACTTCTTACACACTCCTGATTTCTTCACTTAAATACAGTCTTTTTATTGCTAATTTTTGCCTTTTTACTTTTGAAACACACAGAAAAAAAAGAATGTGACAACTGAAGTGAAAATAGAAATACTATCCCTTAGAATGAAGGAAAATTTTGTTTTCAAGTAAATATGCTTGCTTCTAGAATAAGATTGTTTATAGGCATTTCCACATCTTTGGAAAAAGAAAAAGGTGAAACAAAGTTATCTGCAGCAACACAAATCAATTTACAATGAAAGGGTCTTCGCACTCCCAGAAGGCACCTCCAGAGAAAATCATTGATGCAAAGATATTTCATCAAATAAGAGTGATAAAACTGGATTTCTCTTAATTAGAGGTCATTAGAAAGTGAATTTCATACATTTGTTTCCTTACTATGTCTTGAGTTATATTTAAATAGAGGACAACTGAACTATAAATTCAGAGACAAATTAAACATACTCCTGCTGAGCATACTGTTATCAAGCAAGTCAATTATTACATATTACAAGCAAAATAGCGTTATATGACTCCTTGCTGGACATTGCTGAAAAAATGAGATAGTATTTAACAAAAAACACTATCAAAAATGTTTCAAAACTTCTATGTCAACACTGGGTTTGATCCAAAGCTTGCAAAATCAACACAATTCATTTTTTGATAAGACTGCAATACAAACATGGAATTTTAAACAGAGATCCCTATTTATTTTTATAAGTTTTTTACTGAATTAATTACGAGCATTAAGGAGACTATTTATACGAACATTTTTAGCACGAGAGCTCTGAATTTTAACACAGCTTGCCACCAAATCAAAAACCTCTCTGTTTTAAAGCTCTGCATATTATGGAATGATAATAACAAAAATGTCAAAGATTGATTACCAACATCTGATTATAGTAAAAACTATCACTTAACATAGTATGTGCTTCATATGCTATATCGTGTTCTGTTCAGTAAACCGCTTAAGCACAAGATTATATCTATTGAATTAATTGAATGACCATCTTTAAAATCTTTGCTAAAAACAAAATGCATTCATAATAGTCTACATCTGCTGAATTAAAGATGATTAGATTAGGATTAATATTACAATGCGAATCACTTCACTAATATAAGCTCCAACATAGTCGTGCTTGCGAGTATCTTTCCTATTTATTTTTCATATTCTATAGTAACAGGAGTGGAAAGAAGTATCACTAATGAAGTGATTCACTGCTAAAGTATCCTCTGTGTGTCACTTCAGAGCGTTATCAACTCATGGGGGTTTCTTGTTAACTGGGATTTCTAGATTAATTTTCACACTTCTTTGTTTCTGGGGGGATGTTGGGGAGAAGAAAAAAAGAATCTGCACTAACTAGAGCAATTAGATTAGCAGAGCTCAGGAGATTCTTCTGCTGTATTGTGGCATCCCCTTTGCATTTCAGCATTTGAATCCTGCTGCAAAGATAAAGTACTCACATTCAGTTCAGCTGTCTCCTTAACACTGGTGTCTTTACCTGACCAGGCCTTTTTCTACCAAAACACCTTCATTCTGATGAACTTTAAATCATCTTTTTTTTTTTTCTGGATCTGTGAATAAAAGTTTTTAAAATCAAGAGATTTAGTATATTTTTCCTCCTCTTAAAAAAAAAAAAAGTACATTCTAGCACCATATGATATATCCCTACAGAAAGGCAGAATGTTAAGTTGCAATTTCTACCACACTCAATTAAAATAGCAGAGGAAATCAGCAGTGTCACTTTTCTTATTAAACTAAGCTAGTGATGATTCTTCCTCTGCTTTCAACAGAGATTTCAAATACTGCTGTATCACAACACCCAGGATTCTGAATATCAACAGCACTTGGCAACTTGTGGGTCAATAGGACTTGGACAGAAAACAAAAAAAAACAAAACAAAAACAAAACAAAAAAAAAGAGCTCGAGCAGGAGCCAGGGTTTTCCTTCTCGTAAGAGAACCAAACCTTTTGGGCTGCAAGATGCCAGACAAGCGGAGCGTGTCCCAACG